CCCGGGCTGGGGGAGCGCTGCCGGTGGGTGTCCTGCCCCCACATCCCCATCCCCGCTGTGCAGCGGCAGCGGGCGGACAACGAATTAGTTGTTGTGGCTTTTAAATCGGTGTAAATCGAGGTGTTTTCGGTCACGGGTGCGGAGCGTGGGGCTGATCCGCGCCGCGGGGATCAGCCCCACGCTCCGCACGCGTGGGCAGGGCAGAGTGAGTTTGGTTCAAGCCAGGGGGTACCCCCAGCCCATTATTTCGTTTATTCCCCCCCTCACTCCGCTGCATTTGTTTGTTTGTGAGGATTTTTCCCCCCTCCTTCACAAGAACAAAAACATCGGGTACGTCCGCAAACTCCAGCCATCCCCGGGGTGTGAGCACTACGGGGTAAAGCAAAGCTGGCGGGGGGGTGGGGGTGTGTGAAAGCAGCCCCCCTCAACTGTAGAACGACCCCTTCCCGAAATATAACTGTCCTACTTCTTGCGAACAGCTTAATCCCACCGTCGGTGACAACGCAGCGCTGCCCCTCCGTTACCACCGAGGATGTGCGGTGCCCCCCGATGCAAGCGGGTGTGGGGAGGATGAACCTCCCTCTGCCCCCGCGCAGCTCCTCCGAGACCCCACGAACCAGGCCAGCCTCATCGACTATGTTTTCTCTTTATTGTTCGATATATTTATGTACCACATTATATGTTAAAGATAGATTTTTTTTCTGATATACATTTTTCATCTTATTTACCACAATGACACCACACGTACATTGGAAACAGCTCCACGGATCTGGTAGATTGCACAGAATGAATTGTGTCGTAGTTTCGTTCCTGTATCCTGAACGATGTCAAATCCAACAATATATTTTTTTTAAACTTTTCATAATTTAGAAATAACGATTGTTAAAACAAAACAAAACAAAAGTCACCGAGAAGTGGACTCCACGTCTGCGATTTCAACCAGAGGCAAGATATTGTCATCGATGGGAAGCGCCGTTCCTCAGTGTGAATTCAGATGGAAGAATTAAGCAGTCCTGACATCTATGTGACTACGGTGTAAACATTGCAGGTAACTGGATCGCTGGTCATCAGCCGCTGCTTGAACTTGTTGGGCTGGTCGTACAATCTAGGTCTCATCTACATCCACCTCACACAGTGTAAAACGGAGGTCCCTGCTCCCAGCGCCCGCGGCTGGTTTGCTTCCGTCTGTGAGCGCAGTAACCCAATCCCATCGGATCGGCACCTGTGTTTCAGCTCCGGAAACACTGAATTGCATATCTGTAAGGAGTATTGAAAACTGCGACTGTTTCCCGACAGGTCACTCATGGGGGGCCAAGCTTCAGGCAACGAGTGAGGAGATAGGGGTGGGGCACCAGATAATTTCCTTCAAAAAATTCTAAATAACAAAAAAATATATTTAAATCTTAGCTTATTTAAAAAGACAGCAGGGCGAACACTTTCATCTCATTTCCTTTAATTTGCAGATTCTCTGACATAGAATTTGTTGGATGCACATAACGAAAATAATGACTCTTTCCATTAAAGGGATGCAGAATTATTTGGCTATGCAGATGTTCGATACGATTCTCTTACTGCAACCGACTCTGGCCCCTCCTTAGTCTTCAGCATTGGTTCTGAAGGCCTCTATGAGGCCTTCTAAAGAGTGGATGAACCCAGAGACACTGCATATACCACCTATAACGAAAATGGCAACATCAAAGAAGACATGGTGCCACAAGAGCTTCCTCCACAAGAGTTTGAGGTGGAAAAGACTGGGGAGCAGGAAACAGAGCCCTGCGCCTGTGAGGCTCCCAGTAAGACCCATCAAGAGGGCAAAATGTGGGACATAGATAGCCATGAGCAGGGTGAAAACTACCAGGGCACATCTGAGGGTGAGTCCCCAGGATTTGAGCCTCCCGTCACCCCCGTAGCAGTTGGGGAAGAACGCCCTGTTTCCATCTTGGAAAAGGGATCGCTCCAGGACTTCCACAGCTGCAAAGAACGGCAAGGGGTACGAGAGCAAGGCTTTGGCCACCAAGAAAATGTTGACTACTGCCCTAATGGTGGACGGCAAGTTGTCTGTAATGACTTCCTTGGTCTCATCAGCCCAGGTCAGATAGGCGACCAAGGCAAAGAGTCCCTTAAGGATGCAAGCTGCTATGTGAGTCCAGTTCATCATGCAATGAAACTCCTTGGGGTTCTGCATATTCCCCTCCAAGGAAGGCAGAAAGATCTGAGAGGTGTAGCTGAAGACAATGATGCCAATGGAGATGGGAAACTTCTTCACATCAATGTAAAACTTGACTTTGTCCCAGGCCCAGTCACGTGCCCTGGAGAGGCAGTAGGCGATCACCAAGATGTTGATCACAAAGTGGGCCAATGTGCAGAGCAAGCTGAACTTGGAGACTGCCTTGAGGTTCTTCAAGAACGCGCAAGGCAGGAGCACTGCCGTGGCAATGATGGACCACGACTTCTGGGAGACAGGCAGGTTGGGGAAGCTGTTGTACATCAAGTTCCCACTGACCACCACATAGAGGATGCAGGTCATGACCAGTTCAATGATCTGAGCCACGTTCACAATTCTGCCTCCGAGGGTGGGGAAGCGGGGCGCGCAGCACGCGTTCGCTATGTCCACGTAGGAGTCTCTCACCCTGACTATCTCCCCATCCTCATTCTCTTCATAAAGACAGGCAATAAGGATTTTCCCAGTGTAGCAGCAAACCACTGCAGCAAAAATTATTAAAAAGAGTCCTAGGTATCCACCATGAAGGATGGCATAGGGCAGGCCCAGAACAAACATCCCCTAGAAAGAGACAAAATGGAAACCGTGTTGCTCATCTCAAGGAGGGGACCAGGCAGGCACCCGTACCCGGGCACACGCAGTCGCGCAGTCGCAGTCCCGTGCGCTATCGCTGTCTCGGTTGCACACCATCACATCGACACAGTCACGCCACACAATCATGGCCACACACGATTACACACACGCCCTTTCTCTCTGACGTACCACCTCCCACAATCACACCCGCGCAATCACACCCGCACACTCATGCACACCCGCATAATCTCACCCTGGAGCACCCAGAACAAGCGAGCACAGTTTCGGCACCCGGGCTTTGCCCTAACCTCTACCTTCTCTGTCCCCAGCCCCTCTCAGTGCACCAAGACCCCCAGAGCCGAGGACCCCCGGAGGGGCCAGACCCGGCCCACGCCGGCCCAG